ACTGGCTTAGGGCCTAAGCTATCAGTAGGACATCCTTAGTGCTGCCACGGAAGCAGGAGAGGCTCCCGCCACCGCCACTGCATTCGCCAGCTGTGAGCCTGGCTTCTGGCTGAGCGGCACTACCCCTATGGGAGCGCACTGACCACCAGGGGGCAGCTCCTGCATTGAGCATCTGCCTCCTGGTGGTCAGTGCGCATCATAGCGACTGGTGGTTTCACCAGTCGGTCAATTTGCATATTAGCCTTTTAGTATATAGGATATTAATCCTAAAGGTACTTGTTGCTCATTCTCCCTACAGTGCTGATCTCGTGGTTGGAGGGCTCAGTACATGGTTCGAGGGCACCGGAGGGGTGGGTGGGAATGCGGAGCAGGGGCAACCAGAGTTGTTTAGAGCCGATGGCCCCTCCCCTATGTAGGACAACGCCTGTGCTCGTGGACTGCACTCTTGACAGGGGAAGGGAAGGCAACTCTGAACACCGAGGGCAACGGGAGGGTAATTGGAGAAAAACAGCCCTGCGAGGCGGGTCTTGGCAGAGCAGGCCCAGAAGTAATGAGAGCAGTTCAGCTGGAGCCCGACTGCCATGTGGCGGCCAGGGGGGCAGGACGGTGCACAGGGAAACAGCCTCTTCACACCCCTGAGGAACACCTGCCGGTGCCGGATGGCTGCAGCTTAGCCCGGGTTATTTTAGCACCAGCGGGAGCCAGGGGAAAAGCAGGATCTATCTGAGGAAGGGACTTTCCGTGGCCGGACATCACCCGGCCAGCTCCTGGGGCAGAGAAAGCAGCTGCTTCTTTGCAGCTCCAAACAGCCACAGGAGTGTTCTGTGGGGCCCCGAACTGCACGTGTCAGTAAAGCAAGCAATGCCCACGTGTTTCTCATTCTGGGAGACAGTCTCTCCAGGTAAAACTTAGGGCGAAGGGAGACAACAATCAACGTTCTTCATAGAAGGAATGCAGAGTTGGAGCAGGATCCTTGCGTCAGACTTGAGTCCAAATACATTCGCCATGGGACCCCCGACAAGTTGCTGGAACTCTCTGATCCCCACCTTCCCAGCCAGGTGCACTACCTGCGGGTGACAAAGGTGGAGGTGTGCGGAGCACCAGGAGCCCTGCCCACGCAGAACGGCCTCACCCAGCACCGCGGGGAGGCAGGGCCAGAGCATATCTCTCCCCGGTGTGTCTCCCTCCTCCAGGGGCTCCTGACACCAGCGGTTCTGTTCCCCCGCAGGGTTCCTGGAGGCCTTCAGGGGGTGGGAGGCCTCACCTGCAGAGATACTGCCTGGAGCTATCCA